TTGGAGGTCATCAGCTAATACTTATTGCTTGGTTTTACTAAATCATATTTTTTGTGTGTATAATCAATTATTTATGGTCTGTGAGATGAATATCAGCATAATAAATACAATATTTAAGAACAGAAGATCAGAAGCTAACATGGCATGAACTCGTGGGTGAGTTAGAAAAAAGACTTAGAAAAAATGTTACCTATTCTAACTATGAGGTCTCCTTAAAGTGATTGGAAGATAATATTTAAATTAGAGAAATATACTTCTTGCCTAACAGCAGACCCCACTTGAAAATTTCCCCCATAATTTTCCTGTGCTCTTGGGGTAGACACATTGGGGTGGAACACTAGTGCACACTTCATGAAAAACTTACTTGTGAACTTATTCTTCCAATGGTGTTCTTTACATAATAGCAGTGTCTGTCAGATTGCATCCTTGGTGAAATATTTAGGGAAATGTATCTCTACTTTCCTCTACAGTATCATCAGTGTTTGACCAAACATCAGTAATTCTTTTGCATTTATATCTGTCATTAGTGAAAGATGATATTTGCATAACCTTGGGTTCCTTGATCATCAGGCTGTGAGAATAGATGAGGTCACACCAGTTGTTATTTGACAAATTAACTCAAATTTCCCTCAAATGATCTGCCCTCTGGGAAAATCCAGATAGAGGATTTTTCTTCTCCTACCCTGCCTATGAGGAGGGTTTTCTCAATCACCAGGAAGATGTGCATGGATACTTGTTGGATGTCTACACTACAGAGCAGCAAGCTGCAAGAAGCATATTAGCTAATGTGGGAGCCTCCCTGGGCCATGGTTGTACCAGGTGTGTGGTCAAGTGAGGGAAGGTTACTCAGCCCTTAGCAGTTCATCATTATATGGTCCTTAAAGCAATGCTACTTGGGTGTCCTAAGTTTCTTCTAGTAAATGAATTGCATAGTTCTTTAGTCTTCCAGGAGTAACTAGAATCTTCTTTCTGCCCCTTCTCTCCCTCCTTCAACCCCCATCTTGACATATTTAGCATCAGGTATGGATCCGTAATAGCTATCATAGTATATGCAAGGTCTAGACTTACCCACTGTGGTGACTATGTCACTAATTACCATAGCAAAATGGTTCTGCTTGGCATCTTCATTCTGTGGGATGCACAGTCCTGCAGGAGGCCCCTCAGCCCTTTCCCTTACTTTTCTACCTCCACCCAAAGGGATTCACAGCATCAGCAAGCTGAGGAGGAGACTTGAATGTGTGGGGGTGAAAAACGAAGTGGGGGAGATGGACTCTTTCAAGTAGCCCTATCCTGAGACATCTGACTTCTAACCTCTAAATAATGATGTCCCTTGTTCACAATCACTTGCTGAGCCATAATAGTTAATTTGCTTCTAAACCTGATCAGAGATATCGCATAGAAAGGACTACTAGTTAATAAACCATTGCTTTTGTATTTCTCCAACTTATTTTGTCCTTATTCATGGGAAAAGTGTAATGCTAAAGTCTTGAATCTCAGGAGGAAGGCCATGAAGACCTTTAATACTATAGCCACTGAAACAGCAAATCTCATCAAGAAAAGGTCCACTGTAACTGTCTGGTTCCTCATGTCTGAGCCATGTACTCACTGAGCATTGATTCCTTAGACTGAGAGTTTCTATCCTCTCTGGATTATGGTTCTTCCCGTGGTTTATTTGCTCTAGGAATCCAGTGGCTTTTACACGGTTTATGGATTTTATAAGGTAGGGAAGCAGGAAGAGTGAGCCTTGAGAGTGCAGTGCAGTATAAGCAAAGGCAGACGTGGAGACAAAAACCTGATAGGAAGACCACACTCTGAGAGGGCTCTGAATTAGGGACAGGGTAGGTACATCATATATTAAGTTGTATTTACTAGGCAGTTAACATCTTTTATGTGTAGACGTTGTACTATATTCAAGCATAGTAGTTATTAGAGCTGGTCATTGGATCACCTGTAGTTTGTTTTGTCTTAAAATAAGCATGTCTGGGTCCTGCCTCTGCCTACTTATACCTAATCAATTTCTTTGGGGAAAGAGTCTGCAGATCTAGATAGAAACAAAATAATCACACACACACACACACACACACACACACACACACACACACACACTTCCATAGCTGATTCTACGCTCATGCCTATTTAAAAGCTTTTTGACCATGGTGTCCAAACGGAAAATTCACAGTGCTTATTCTTGATGTTAACAGCCTAATAGCAGGGACTTATATTTCAACAGGTAGAACAAAGTAAGTCATCTCTACGGGTTTAGAATGTTCATGAAGGATGTCTTTAAATTCGTCCCCCATCATCTTATAGCCATGTAAGCAAAGAAAATTGTCTAATTTTCTTTTCTAAAACTTCTTTGTTTTGGCATCAAACTATACCAGCCTCCTAGTAACTGGAAGTTTTCTCTATTTCTATTTTTTTTGAACCTATTAGATAATAAAATAATGAAGTTCTCCTTGCTGGTTAGAGTCCTTTAGGGTAGATGTTTAAACATTTTACTGAGGTGAAATTTGGTTACTACTTTTGATTAGTTTGTTTCAACTTTCTACTGTTTGGGGTGGTTCTGGTAATTTATTTTTCTAGAAAAGCAGCCATTTTGTTTCCTATTTATCTTTGTCATTCAGACAACAGATAGAAACTCTGTCCTACTACCAGTTATGTCTCTTCCTTCCCAGTAGTTGTTTTCTTCCAGTAAGCTTAGCTAAACTTTGTCTATTTTCCAAAGATAAAGCTTTTGAATTTATTTGCTTTTATTTATTCTCAGATCATGTCTTCTATTAGATGAATTTCTGCTTTTATCTGGTTTTCCTCCATCTTTTTTTCATTTGGTTTATTATGTTCTATTTCAGCTTTTGTAGATGAGTAGTTCTATTTAAACCTTTACCAAAAAAATTGAGTCTGACTATAATTCTACCTCTAAGTACCATTTTTAAAAATCTGCTTCCTACCAGTTGTGTCGTAGGATCTTTTGATTGTCATTCAGTTATAAGAATATCCTTTTCAACTTGATTTTCTTTGTATCACGTGAATTATTTTAAGCTTCCAAATTTAAGACACTCTTCTTACTGTTGATTTCTAATCTAAATCCATTGTTGTCAGTGATCCTTTGTGATATTGTACCTAGACAAGCTTTCTATATGTTCTATGAGTTTTGAAACATGTATTTATTGCTTATTGGGTGCAGGGATATGTATGTCCAAGTGTGCTACTAAATTTTCTTAAATTAATGAAGCTTGATTAAAGTAGATTAAAAATCTATTACTAAATTTTTTCTTATATTTTCAAGACTAAGCATATTCAAGAGCATGTAAGATCTTTTAACTTTCAAGAACTTCAAGAAAAATTGCAATAATAGTAAAAAGAATATATATACAGTTACCTAGATGCACCAGTTGTTACTATTTTACTTCACTTGTTTTTATGTGCATACTCTATGCCTGCAAATGTATAGACCCACAATTTTTTCTGAACCATTTAAGGATAAATTACATCATGACCCTTTAAGCTGAGTACTTTAGTATATATATATATTTTTAGAAATACAGATATTTTCTTAAATATCAAAGGGTAGTTATTAGCTTCATTAAATTTAACATTGATAGACTACTTGAATACACTACCCATATTCCATTTTTGTCAGTTGACCCAATGTCTCTGATAAGCATTTTTCCCTGATAGCACAGAACCCAGTCTGGAGGCAGGTATTACCTTTAGTTGACAGGTCTCTAATTTGGTGTATTTCTATAGCCTTTCTTTGTCATTTATGATACTGATATTTTTGAAGACTAAAATCTGTCTCCCCCCCCCCTTTTTAATAGGCTGTTTCTCATTTTGGTTTGCTCAGGACTGATTTATAAATTATGCCTTCTCAGTTGGAAAACTACCTAGGTGGCATATCATTCTCAGGGTATACCCTTGGAGGCTCACTATGTGTATCTACCCCTCATTAGTGATCTCAATTTTGATCACCCAAAGTGTGGTCTTGATTCTCCACTGAATATTTTATATGTATAATTTTTTTTTTTTACCTTATAACTAAGTACTTTAAGACTGAATAAACAGGATAGACCCCATGCAAAATATGGTTGGGATGCTGAGATTGATTGAGGCCATACACTTATCAATAAGGAATGAACAAGATACATTACTCAAAGAAGTGTTTTTTGTTTTGAGAGAGCACGGCAGATTTCCCAAGCTGGCCCAAACATGGGTTGAGGGAGAATAGGGAAAGGAAGGGGGTGCAGCCTGGATGAGGTTTTTTTTTATAGGTGGGCTGAGGCTTAATTGACTTGAAACTCCTGCCAGCATCAAAAAGAGGGAACAGCTGGCTTTCTTATCACCTTTCCCAGATACTGGCCAGAAAGGGAAGAGCTAAGGATGAGGCTTACAGCCTATTGACAAACATCAAATAATGAAGTCAGGCTCTTCAGTACAGAAATCATGTCCTGCTTCTTAGCATAATATCCCACATTAATGATGCTTGCATGAATTGGTCTATGTTATAATCAAATAAAAATGCTGATTTTTCCAATCATCCTCCCCCTACCCCATTTATCAGTCAGCCCTCAATATTTTACTATAAACAAGAGCTCTCCCTCCAGAATTGGTCCTCTTTCTTACAATTATATGGTATCTAGTTACTTCAAAATAAAAGTTTAATTAAAACAACTATAATTATTTTTATAGTCCCCTAAACATTTACCAATAGTTTAAGATTTGTTCTCATTGTTTTCTTTAATTGTTTATTTAAATTCACTTAGCCAATATATAGTAAGTACATCATTAGTTTTAGATGTAGTATTCAATAATTTATCAGTTGCATATAACACTCAGGGCTCATCAGATCACATGCCCTCCTTAATGCCCATCACCTCATCCCCCACCCCTCCCCTCCAGCAACCCTCAGTTTGTTTCCTAGAGTTAAAAGTCTCTCATGGTTTTTCTCCCTCTCTGATTTATTCCCATTCAATTTTCCCTCCCTTCCCCTATGGTCCTCCATGCAAAAACGTTGGTTAGATACCACGAAGTAGGTGGCAATGCCTTAACTGTATGTGTGTGTTGAGGACAGAGGGCCTCTTCCATCCTTGTCAATGGGAGTGATGACCTTTTCTCCTTTCATACAACACCTCATTGTACTTTTCTAAACTTCATGCCCTCCCTTTGAGTTCCCTTCCCTTTTAATAGTTGTTTTGGTTTGGGTAAATTATCTTCATCTTCATATGCTTGTCAATTCTTTATTTTGTTCTGGATTTTTGAATGATTGGTTGGGTAACATTTCTTGATTGACTATTTTTCCTCAGCACTGCCCAGAATGGACATCTAGTGTTGCTAATGAAAAGTCTGTTTTCAGTTTAACTGTCATTCCTTTGCAAATAATTGGTCTTTGATCCCTGGTTATATGAGTTGTTTTGATTTTTCTTAGGGGTGATTATGATGTGTCTACATGTGGACTTACCATTATTTATCCTTCTCACCACTAGCAGTTCCCTATTAATCTGAACTGTGATTTCCTTTCATTCTGGGGGGGAAAATCAGCTACTTTTATTCAAATAATGTCCTTCTTTGTTCCTTTAAAACTTCTATTGAATACATGTTAGAACCCTCAATCTATCTTTCCTAGCTCTCATTCTTTTATCCCCCTCTCTCCCCTCCCTATTGCTCTGTTTATTGTTGTCTATATGGGCAGTGTTTGGGGTAAAATGATGTTTATAATAGAGCTCTATTTCCTTCTTTAATGGAAGTTTCTTGTTTGTTTGCTGTTTAATCCAATAGAAGAATGTCTCTTGGTTTGATTGTTCTTGGACAATGATGCACTGAAGATTTCACTGAGGCTATTTAAGTTTCCAGGGTAACAAACAACTTGAGTAGTAGTATTTGTATTGCTTCTGTTTTTTTTTTTTTTTTTTTTAAGATTTTATTTATTCATTTGAGAGCAAGATACAGAGAGAGAACATGAGCAGGGGGAGAGGCAGAGGGAGAGGAAGAAGCAGGCTTCCCCCCTGAGCCAAGAGCCAGATGTGGGGTTCGATCCCAAGACCCTAGGATTATGACCTGAGCCAAAGGCAGACGCTTAACCATCTGAGCCACCGAGGCGTCCCTGTGTTAGTTTGTTTTTACTTTTACTCTCCTTAATACATTTTCTTCTCACTCCTCCATACTTGCATGGTTTGATTATTTCTCAAAAACATATGCAATAGTAAATTTTGTTTTGGGGGAGGAAAAAAAAATCTAGTAGACCCTCCTTTTTGACCCTGAATGTTATTTTGGACTCTCTAATTTGGAGGACATATTTATCCATGAAACTGTCCTTGTTTTAGGTTCACCTAAATATCTAGTTAAATGACTGATCTGTTAGCTATTTTTAGGTTTAGATTAATTAGAATGTCAAGGTTAGTGCAAATAATGAATACAGTTCTGAGTTTAAGCCAGTAGTGATTTTTGACACTATGAAAGATGTTCTTCATTTTAATGACTATTGAAAAAACTTAAACGCTGGATATGAATAAAGACTCACAAAGAACTCTTCTACATATAAAGAGCTCACATCAAGTGGTGTATAGGTAACAAAATACATCCATCTAGACTCTTAGATTCTCTCTGTGAGGACAAGTGTTCAACTATTCTGATAGGAAAAACAACTATTTCAGTCAATTACCCAGACCCTCAAAGTCTTCTGTGAAGGCTCTCTATTCATAATGCTGTTGTTCAGTTGTTTTCATTAAATTAAGTGTTGTCTCTAAACTTAACTAGTTCTATGCCTTTCCCTTACCTAAGTTCTTTGTATGTAGACACAGTTAATTGATGTTTTGACTTGCCAAATCAGTCTAACTATTTGTCTGTCATTCCAACTATAAATGACAAGTATTTGCCCAGTGTTGGTGGAAGAAAATGCAAATATATTACCACCCATCGCCCCACCACCCCCTCCATTTTGCCGATTTTAAATCCAGTGTTCATTCCTGATTAGGATGTTAAGCAGTCTGTTCTAAACCAGATCTTCAGTCTTCTCCCTTGAAAGGTGTTCTTTTTTTAAACTTGCATTCAAGTTGCACCTGGCTTTGTTGACACAGTTATTCTTGCTTCTGTTTGCCCAGGCCTATAGCACTTCTCAAAGTGGTGAAGATGGCTTTTTCAGGGACGGCTGAAGTCACAGTGGGGGAGCCAGAGACCACAGAGCACTCTGAAAGCAAGGCTCTATGGCAGGTGAAAATTTGATTCTGAGAGGTGTGATGGCAATTTTGAACCATAATGCATCGTCAGCTTCCCCCCAAGTGACCTGTGCACCTGCTCTCTCTCCATATATTTACATTTTCCCAGAATATCATGGTTTTAAAAAAAGAAAAGCAATACCATGGGTCCTGTCATATTGAATTGAATTTCAGAAGTGGCTAGGGTGAGGATAACAAGGGTGATAAATGTGCAGAAAGAAAGCTAGCTGCTTTTTTTTTCCCTAATAGATTTGCAGGATTTTCAGCTGGAAGGTGTTAAAGAGATCCATTGTTTGCTCTGGGGAGGCCTAATATCCAAACAGAATCTGGCTGAATTGTTCAGACTCACTGAAGTTTGTAGACTTTGCCCTTTCCTTCTGAGAACAGGCTGATGAAGAATTCTGTTTCTCCTATGCCTAATAGTTCTTACGCAGTCCCTTTGTTCTCATAATCCCCTCCTCCAATATTGAGGGTGGGGGGGCAACCCCTGAGGCCTTCGTATTTACTTCTTGCTGGAGACACTTGTGATTGGGTTATAGGTAAGGAAAACATGAAGCAAGTATCTTGCTATAATATAGCTATAAGTAGTCATTATTACAATAATAATAGCAATCATTTGAGTTAAGTATGGCCAAGATATTTACCTACATTTACTCAATCCTCATCACTGTCACCATATTTCTGTTGAGAAAGATGACTCTGTACCAGGTTCAGTAGTTGCCTAAGGTCCTGTTGCAAATTAATGGTCATGCCCAGAATTTAAGACCTTGCACTCCGACTCCAGAATTGGCTTTATTATTGGCAAGTACTCACTTGATACTCGGTCCATGGTATATAGTGAATCTATTTCATGTAAGACTTTTGAAGCGTGGGTGTTCTAAATTGCAGATAGGATATACTTTGTTTTATTGGAAGCTTGGGAACCACTGGAGACCTCTGGAGTTGGAATTACTGATCATGAAATGTCAGAAATAAGCAAAAGTACACCTCTGTGATGAAAACTCTGGGCCTGTTTTTAAGAAACATGTAGTTCAGTGGAGGAAAATGGACACTGGCAAAGCAGTAACCAAAATAATTACGTGATGACTATTGTAAATATTATAAAGTAGGTAGGGGGCTGGCAGAGCTTACCCTGGGAGAGCCTGATCTTGCCTATATGCTTTCATGTTTTCTTCCTAGCAGAACCGGCCTCTCATTCTGGAAGCTAAAAATATACTTTGTTTCCCCCACTTCCTGTAACCATTGCTGGCTAGCTGGAGCTAAGTCTGTGGTGGTACTTCTGGGAAATAAACATTTTGTACCCTAATACAGATAACCTACAGGGAGATGCCTCCCCTTTTTGTGGAAGCAGAGGGTCTGCCTGTGATGCCTAGGACTGTGATCATTATCTTATGACCATAGGGTGAGAACAGAAAGATGGTGAGAGCCTAGGAACCTGACCTGAACACCTGAATCAACCCTGGAACTCTCTATCTCCAGATGGCCTGTTACATGAAGAAGTACATCTCTTTTTGTTTAAACCATTTAAATCACAGTGTTCTCTTACTTGCAGCTGAAAACTTCATAAGTAATAAGGAAGCTTCTCTGAGGAAGAGGCATTGGGCCTGGATTATAAAGGAAGAGTGGTTGTTGACTAAGTAAGGAAGGCTTAAGAGTTTCAGGCAGAGGGTCTAGCAGGACACAGGGACCCAAGTGGAAGTGGTTTGTCAGATTTGTAAAATGGAAAGGAGATCAGTAGGGAATCACTTAAAAAAAAAAAAAAAGTGGGGTGTGGATGTGGCACATGCTGACACTGAGGTGAGCACATGCTAGGCCACACAAGGAGCATAGGCCAGAGCAAGGGGACTGAACTGGATCTTAAGAGTGGGGAGTATTTCAAACACTTTAAGCAGGAACACGGTCTAGTCAGATCTGCACAATGGCTTAGAGTAAGCAGGAACATTGGCATATGTGGAAGAAAGCAAAGACAGCTACCGGGCAGAGCCTAAAGGAGAGAGTGACTGGAAATATGGTTGCTCGGTTGGGCAGGAAGGAGCTTGAGCATTAATTTGTAGGTCAGACTGAGTGTAAACAGGTCTGCCACATCCAAGTGGGCATGAGACTCTGTAACTCATCCTGTGGATCTCCTCTTTTTTCCTGCTTCCCACCCTCCACTGCCCCAGGCAAGATGTGTGACCTTCAGAACACGCATCTAGGTTCTATTTCTTCCCTGTCACTCTCTAAAACCTTACTTTGTTTTACAAAATAGCAACTGAGACTTGGAGAGGGCAAGTGGCTTGTACCTGCCTAAAGTGTCATGTCACTTAAACACATCGGACCCTGGAACACTAGTCTCTTGATTCCCAGTCAAGCTATCTTTTGAAATGGCCATCTTTCTCAGAAATAGTTCCTAGAAGATTGGTTTTATTATGGGACAGAGAACTGGTTCCAAACTCATGTTTGACTGCTCATCACTTGAAAATCAGTACCCAGAGGGAGGTGATGATCGAAAAGGAAAGCTTGCTTAATTCAGAAACCAGCAACCTGAGAATGTTGACTAATGTCCCAAAGATCATCTTTCCCATCCAGGCAAAGCTGGAGGGTTTTAAAGGGGAAGGTGTGGGAAATGGGGCTAGTGTGGCAAGGCTGGTACTCAGGTGGTTATTCTATGTCAAGATGACCCTGAACAGACTTGCTGGCATCAGTGGTGACTGCTCTCGAATGTAGTCAGAACTTAACTTCTGAGAAAGTCTGGTCCTTCATTCCTCAAGGCCAGTGGTCTGCTCATCTCCAGGAAAGTAGGCCAGTTCTGCTACAGACCAAAGAACTTAGGTCCACAAACAAAGAGTGCATAAGCTTCAAGCTAGTTAATCCTTAAGACTAGTTGGAGTGCTGTTACAGTAGGACTTGAGTGGGATCATCCAGAGTGTTTTTAGTTT